GAACTGGGGTTTTAGGGGCAGATCCTTCTGGCCCTAGAGGCTCCCTTCTCTCCACCACACTGTCTGCTCCAGAGGAGATGGGACACTTGCAGGTGGTAACAGAGAGACAGAAAAACACTTTCATTCCTCAATAGTATTCTTTTCACCAGAAGTCTAAAGTATCCTGCAAAATCCTTTTTTACTTTATCTTTTGTCAGCCCTGGATTTGTCCGAGGAAGTAACAGAAGATACATATGAAAAAATTTTCTTGCGGTATTAGTTATAATATCAAAACTTAGAAATATGCCTGACATGTCCCAAAAGAAGAAAGAAGAAAATATGATGCACATACTCTATGGAAGTTTATGTACGTAGCAATTAGAAGTAATCACAAAGGATAAGCATGAAAATACATGCTTATTGTTAAATAGCAAGAAAAAAGCACACGAATCTTTTTTATGATAACTACCTAAAGATATGTATGCGTTTATGAACAAGGCTGGAAAAGAATATAAAGAAGTGAAAATAAAAAGTTATTGGGTTTTTTTTATGATTTTAAGAACATTTTTACTTCTTTCAATGATTTTATGATATTTTCATTAAAATACTTGAAATTAAGAGAAGAAAAAAAAAATGATAGCTACCTGAAATACTTACTTGGTAACCTAGATCAAACCAGAATACACTGGTTAGGTATTCCCTCCTTTTTTTCTTTCCATATTTTGAAGAAATTGAGTGATTGAATACCGTGATTTATGCCATAATCTACAAAGTCTTTTTGTCCTTGGGGCCTTTTATTAGTTAACAATCTTGAATAGCGAAACCTTGTTTATTTTCTGCTTTTCCCCAGTGTTAAATCAGAAAAAGAAATATATTTCTTTATATCCAGTTACAGGGTCAGGCGAATCATAGGAAATTATCTATTTTGGAAATCTAAAAAATTATTGGTGGAAATTTTACATGGTGTGATGAGAACATTTTAATAATGGCAGGATTATGCCTGAAACCATCCTTGAAACTTATTTTGAATCATTTTATTCACTCCAATGGTCCTGTCTGCCAGTTTAATTTCTGGTCTTTGTTTTGTTCTTGAAGACCCTTATTTAATACACATACTAAATTCTCTAGCGTAAAGGTCTAAATAATGTCAATTCAATATACTCCCCAAATAAACCTTTAAAGTTAATCTTCTGGAAAGCTCTAGATTCCCTTCATTCACCCACCTTTTAATTCATTCACCAAATACTTGCTGATATTTATTGCACTTGGACTCTGTGCCAGGTACTATGCTAAGCGCTGGGGCATAGCTGCGAGCGAGATGGGGGCATCTTTTTCCTTAAGGAACTTAGAGTCACTTTTTAGGTTGAAAGCTAGGCTGCGTCTAGGCGGTAACTAAAGTGATCATTTGGTTTCAAACAACAGGTCAAATGACAGCTTTAATTATGATGATCATGATTATTATTTTTTGCTCGAATTGACTAACACCACCACTTTGGAATTAATAAGCACTTGCCTTCACCCAAGCAGAGCTAAGGAATTCATTTTGGACTCTTCCCGGTGTTTAGCTGACTCATAGATACATAAGGCTCAGGGACAAAAAGGATTCGCACAGTACACATTTAGACAACTCTAATCCGAGAGAGTCCCCTCACGGTGCCCGGACCCTTCTAAACAAAACACAAGACACAATGCAGTGTGACTTGAGAAAGTAACAGTGTACACCCAATAAAAATGAAATAAATTTTTAAAGAACACAAGCAAAAATAAAAAGAATTTTTTAATGATCATAGCGGTGGTTATTCACTTAAGCCGGGGCTGCCTACGACTGTTTCTTGGGGGTGCTGAGCAGCAGCAGACAGCATCCCAGGGCCGGTGAGTCGAAAAACTAAGCAGCTCACTGGGCTGAGCTGAGCCAGCCATGGCAGGCAAAAACAAACCAATGGAGAAAACGCCAGCAATGAAAGACTTAAGCTGCATCTCTTAAAACCTTGCCTCAGGTTCCCCTCCGACCAGCTTTAGCAAAGACTTAGTGTTCCAGGACTTTGCTTATAGATGCCTAGTCACTGTGCACCCCCACCGACCACCTGGCCTCAGAATCCATGTGGCCGACCTGACCAGTGATGACCAGGTGGATTTTGTTTCTAATTTCCACCCCCTTGACTATTTCTATTACGTATCTTTCAGACGTGTTTTCACTTTGGGAAAACACTCTCCTACAGAGCAAGAGTCTTTAAAAAAACTAAAATGGTGGATGTAATGGTCATCCCACAACCAGATGAAGCTTTGTTCCTACCCCTGAGATCACTGCTCTGTTTCCATGCTAGGATGGGTGTGCCCAGAAATCAGAAGACGGATGAACTGGGTTGCACAGAGGGAGAAAATGCCCACTGCTGCCTTACGACACAGTCGAGAGCAAACTGAGACTCTCAGCCATGGGTTTCCATCTCCTGTTCCGGGTTTTGAGACTAAGACAGTCCACGTTGTGATAATGGTAATGATAAACACAACTTCCATTTACTGGCTGGCTACTGTGCATTTTACAATCACTTCTCATCTTCACATTTCTGCAAGGAGGGGATTAGGACCTGTTCTTTAGAGGGGAGAAAACTGAGGTTTGGGGGGCTAAGTAACTTGCCTAAGGTGGCACAGATCGGAAGTGGCAGTGCTGGGATTGCATCTGAGATTGGCCTTTTTGCAGCCAGCTGCCTTCCTAAAAGCAGGGCCACTCACCACCCCGGGAGCCTTGTGTCTCCTGGGCCTGCATGGCAGAGCTGCTTCTGTCTCCTTACTGGAAAAAAGACAAAAGCCACACTGACCACGACGTCCATTCTTGGCCACTGTGGGACAGGGCGTTGTGGTACTGGGGAGCTGAGGGGTTGGCAGGCAGAAATGCACCCATGATACCCGGTGCCATCTTAGCTGCTGGCCTCGGCGCCTGCTGGCCATCTCGGCAGACTCTCATTCAAGGAGACCTCTTCCTGTCCTCACGGCCTTATCAATGATCTAAGCATTTCTAAAGTGAAGAAATGCACATGAAAAAAGGCTTAATGAAAAATAGATGTTTTAAAGGTGTAAGAGACAGATCATGTAACTGGGCAAGAAAAGAGAGGACACTTTGGCTCCCGTTCTGTCTGCAGCCTTCCCTCTGGGGGAACTGGAGGCGGTACCATCAGGAAACACGACGCCATGGCAGCCCTTAGTAGGGGGCCCTCTGAGCGCCCCTGGCCTTATCGTGCCTTGTTTCTGGGCTAGGACAATTTGAAAATGCTCTTCTATTACCCTCTTCTATAAATAGCTAAAGTGTCAGTCTCCACAGAGGCAAAGTAAGCAATACAAAGTGAAAAATTCAGTCAATGTCAAGTTTTGTGTTTCTTATTTTTGCCTGTCCCGTTTGTGGAAATGGGGCACGGCCCCCATCTTGTCTGCTGGGTGGGGTTTGTTTACCATGCTTGGCAGCCACCACCACCCAAACAGCCTTTCATTTTTTCTAACTGCACTTTGCCCCTGCCTTTACCCAAAGCCTAATGCAAAGACCAGTGAGGACACTGCAAGGAAAGGCCCAGAAAGGCTAAATTACCTCCCAACAGCAGTGACCCAAGCCCGAAGCCCAGAGTCTGAAGTGTCTGCCCTCAGCTACTTCCCCCGAAATCCCAGAATTCCCAGGCTTATGAATCTTCTCGTCCCTTGAACTCAAGGACAGACTGCTCTGAGCCTTCTCTGGTGCCCTCACCCCAGAACACAGTGTGACTCATAGCAAATCAGGCCTTTCTGAGAAGAGAGCTATGATCTTGCAGCAAACCCTGCAATTACACAGTCCTCTAAAGCCTCGAGGTGCTGGCCAGGGCTGTGCCATGGTCCCTGGTAGGAACACAAGTGCTGATCCAGTGGTTCTCAACCTGTGGGTTGCGACCCACAGGAACCGTATTAAAGGGTTGCGGCATTAGGAAGGTTGAGAACCGCTGTGATAGCCTCTCCTATCCTTCCCATATCATCCCTGAACAAACTCCCACACTTGGGTGAGCTGTCAGGTGGAGGGAGGACATTCTGACTGCTTCCCCTGGTTTTTTTAGATCCCACTGCATCTTGTCCTGCTTTTTGTAACAATGCCAAATGCCTGAGCATTTTGTCCCCTTTTCACTTGTCATCTTTCTTGTTATCTGGGCTAGAAAACATGACGGAAGCTAATGGCTTGCAGAGAAGCCAGGCTCCCATCCACATCCACGGGAACGAGGTCAAGAGTAGTTTCTCTTCTTGGTTGGTTGTTGCTAGTGGTGGTGACTTAACAAGGCACGTCCTCTCATCTGACCTCTCCATTCTGTCCACAATGCTGGCTTTCTGGCTCAGAGGGAGAGCTACCGAGGCGAGGGCGGTGGGTGAGTCACTGAACCCAGGATGGGTGCATCACAGGGTAGCCCTTGGCCAGGGGCACAGGGGCAGCCATGACAGGGCTGAGCCCAGACTTGGACCTTTGGGCCGTGAGGGCACAAAGGCCCTATGGAAGCCTGCACCTAATGATCCCTTCAGGTCAAATGTTCTTTGTTGACAAGAGCAGAAAGAAAGAGGCCAAGTGACAGAGCCAGCCAGGGGGTAAAAGACAATGACACAGAAACTAGATTCATCGCAGGGTGAAAATGGCCTGGGCGATAGTTTCCCATCCTGTCCAGCTTCCTTTCATACCCTCTCCATTTCTCTACCCTGGGCCTGCCTCAGTTACCCTCCTGCTTCCTTCCTCCTGGTCCTTCCCTTACACAGACTTTTCTCTCTTCTTTATCACTGGAAAAATCTGTACCAGGGGCAGCTGTGTTTTTAGGCAGCTGGCTCTGAACTGATGCCCAACCTGGCCGTGACGGGGCAGATGCCAGCTCAGGCCCGGACTCCTCCCCACTCAGCAGCCCTTTGATTTGGTGAGGATAGGATTCAATTCTGGGGAGACCCCAGTACCTCAGCATCCCTCCACTGCCCCCCAGATACATACACACAGAGTTTCTAGAAGTTCCTGGCCATCGCCGTGTTGGCCTTACCTGTGCCTGGGAACTGAGCTTGCAGGACGGCCGCGATGACAAGCGCCTTCCACTTCATCTTGTCCTCTCTCCCAGGATGGGGCAGGGAGGCAGAGGCGGGGCAGCTGCGGATGGCACGATGAAGAGAAAAGGGGTCTCTGCCGTCTTTGTTCTGGCGCTGCCTCCTCAGGAAGTGGAGGACTGCGGCTCTGAGAGCACCTGCCACAGGCCCAGAGTCGCGCACTCCCCCTTTCGGTTCACAGGCAGGAAGCTCTGGAGGGCTGAGGGTTAGGGCGGGTGTGTGTGTGAGTGTGAGTGGCACCAATCTGTCTGAATTTTGCTCCTCTCGTTTCATCACTGGTTTAATGTTCCTTTAAAAAAAAATTCTTGTCCAGTTTTTATGTCGTTTCTATCTTGACAGGCAAAGTCAGTTTCTAGGCAAATACGAGGTCCCAGGGCACTCAAGAACATTTGCCCTTTACCTGGACTGTCCAATATTGTGTAGAGGTTGGTAAAATGACAGCATTCTGGATGCAGAGACAGGCTACATGTGGAGACAGACTACCTGGGCTTTAGTGACATCTCTGTCATCTTCTTGTGTGGCCTTGAGTAAGTTGCTCAACAGCTCTAGACTTCAGTGTCCTTATCTATACATCAGAGCTGGAGTAGATCTGAGGTGGCAGATCTAAACCTGGCCTGAATTTGAACCATGCAATAGTTGGAAATACTATCGCTCACACAGTAAACTTAATAAAAAATGGAAAGAGATCTATACGAAACTAGCTTTAAAACACTTCTGGAGGACACAGAAAGAACTTGGGTAAATGGAAAGGCACATTCTTCTTTGATAGAAAGCGCCCTCTTTCGAATACCACGATTCTCCCTAAATTAATCAGTCTCATTGAAAAGACCAACAGAAGTTTCAGAACAAGATAATCTGATCCCAAAGTTTATATGGCAAAAAATTAATGTGCAAGGGCTGGGTGTGGTGGCTCATGCCTGTAATCTTAGCACTCTGGGAGGCCAGGTGGGTAGATTGCCTGAGCTCACAGGTTTAAGATCAGCCTGAGCAAGAGCAGGACCCTGTCTCTAAAAGTAGCAGCTGCTAAAGTATATTACTTAAACATTAATTTTTACTTCAACTTGTTAATCTGCTGTTTAGGATACAGGATGCTGCATCCGCATTTAAAAGTGAATTATGTTTGTAATTTCCCTTTTATACTAATATATATTTTCCAATTTTAATATCAGGTGTACCCAGATTAACAGAATGATTTTGAAGTATTTCTTCACTTTCTATTGTCTATAAGATTTGGCATGATCTGTTTTTGGAAATTGTCTTTAATTTTTATTTATAAATATTAGTTGGCTATTCTTTGAGACTTTGGGAAGAAAAATAATAAGAAGAAGTTAATTAATGACTCTATACTGAACCTCAGAGTCAAAGCATACTATGGTAGGCACACTCTTATTTGACAATGCGAATGTTACTTTCTTTGCATTACTATTATTATTGCTTAATACTTCGTTGCAGCAATTATCTGATATCTTTTAGGAATGTATTTATCTTCATGCATTCTTTACGAGGTTTTTGTTTCTAGTCCTTATCTTAAACATTGTTATTGTTGTGAAATTTTAAGCCTTTTTGATTTTGTGAAGGCAAAAAGTGGACACCTAGTAAACACATGTATATGTAAAAAGAAAAAAAGAAAAGTAGCGGGTGCCTGTAAGCCCCAGCTACTCAGGAGGCTGAGGTAAGAGAATCACTTGAGCCTAAGAGTTTGAGGTTGCTAGGAGGTATGACGCCATGGCACTCTACCAAGGGCCACAAAGTGAGACTCTGTCTCAAAAGAAAAAAAAATTAATGTACAAGAATGGCCAGGGACACCAAAAGTATGAACAATAAAGGACAAAATTGATAAACTAGACTTCATTAAAATTAAAAACTAGTGCATCAAAGGACTCTATCCAGAAAGTAGAAAGATAACCCACAGAATGAAACAAAATATTTGCAAATAAACACACTGATAAAGGTCCAGTATCCAAAATATATAATTAAACCCTACAACTCAATAATAAAAACATTAAAAATTGGACAAAGATTTAAATACAGCAATTCCCAAATTACAAACATCCGATGACTTACGACTCATTACAAATGGAGGCTATTACACGTAATCAGTAAATGTACCTGTTCTAACTTATATGCAAATTCAACTTAAGAACAAACCTACAGAACCTGTTTCATTTGTTACTGGGGGGCTGCCTGTAGACATTTCTCCCAATAAGTTAAACAAATGGCCGAAAAGCACACGAAAAGATGCTTAGCATTTAGTCATTAGGGAAATGCAAATCAAATCCACGGTAAGATCCTATTATACTTTGCACTCACTAGGATGGCTAAAATAAAAAAGAGGATACAAGTGTTGGTGAGGATGGGGAGAGATTGTGCGTGGCTAGCAAAAATGTAAAATGGTGAAGCCCCTGTGTAAAATAAGTGGCAGGTCCTCGAAAAGTTAAACAAAGCAGAAATTCTACTTGTAGGTATGTAGTCAAGAGAACTGACAACCTATGTTCACACAAAAACTAGGCTGTGAAGCATCACAGCAACATCATTAATCATAGCCCCAACCAGAAACAATTCAAATGGCCACAACCAAGGAATGGATCAACAAATGTGATATCCCCAAACAATGGAATATGATTCAGCCTTAAACAGGAATGAAGTGCATTACATATTATAATGTGGGTGAACCTTGAAAATAGAGCACTGACAGTCAGACGCAAAAGCCCACATATTGTACAATTCCATTAATTTGAAATGTCCAGAACAGGCAAATTCGCAGTGATAGAAAGTAGATTCACGGTTGCCAGGAGCTGGGAGAGTGGAGAATTGGGACCTCCTGCTGGTAAGTATGAGGTATCATTGGGGGATGATGAAAATGTTAGATAATGCTGACGGTGTGAAATACAGTGAATATACTAAAAACCATTGTATGGATGGGGTCTTACTCATTTTGTAATCTATAATGTCCCAGGACCTAGTTAACACAAGAGAGAAAGAGAGGGCATGATGGCTCACACCTGTAATCCTAGCACTCTGGGAGGCCAAGGCAGGTGGATTGCTTGAGCTCAGGAGTTCAAGACCAGACTATGAGTGAGACCCCCATCTTTACTAAAAGTTAAAAAACTGAGGCAAGAGGATCGCTTGAGCTGAGGAGTTTGAGGTTGCCGTAAGCTCTGATGCCATGGCTCTCTACTGAGGGTGACAAAGTGAGACTCTGTCTCAAAAATAAAATAAAATAAAATAAAATAAAAACAGAACAAAAAGAGAGAGAGAGGACAATTAATTCCTTGCACAAAAGCCAGATAAAGCAGAACGGAGAGGACAAGAAAACTTAATTCCCTCCTGGGAAATTCGGCCCCTCATGGCCTTGAGGGATGTGCAACCTTCTTTTTTCCCTGCTGCACACTGGAACAGTAAGAGGGGTCTTGGGCTGCACATTAAACACAGAAACACTAACAAAAGCTGGTTAGCAAAACAAACAAACAAAAGTCTAGTCCATGTATACTTTCATGTACCTGACAGATGTGCACTAAAAGTCCACCCCAAATCAGTCTGTGGTCCGTGTGGCTGCAAGTCGGACGCTCCTGCTCAGGCAATTGAATGCCTGGAACTGAGTACAGTGCCTAGTACATACAAGGTGCTCCATCCAAGTTACTGAATGAATGAGGGCCATTGTCCAGCTACTGGTATGAAGAGGGATGGGAGGGGGTGGGTTTGAGGAGAGGGCCTAGTGTGCCTTTAGCGACTGTCCCAGGTCAGACCTGCCTTCCAAGATACTAAATTTAGGCCAAGGAGGCCAGGCCTCCTGCACACAGAGCCACAGTCACGGCTCTGACTGAGCCAGTGGGGTCCATGACTCCTTCTTGTCTCACCAAAGCTGGAGGAAGGAGCAGAGCCTAAACGAGCTCGTGCTGGCCAGGACTGGAGGCTGAGGAAACTTCCATGTCCCTAACTGCCAGATGTTACCGGAGCTGCCTTTGGCTGGCGTTGAGTGTGGCTCACAATGAGACTGTTTATAGCATGTGATTTCGGTGGGGCCAAGAAGGATTTTGGATCTCTAGAGCACACCTTCTCCACCCACTCACTAATATCCCGAAATACACACTGAAAGAGTCGTTCTTTTAGCTATAATTAGTGGTGTGCTGGAGCTGCTCATACCAGCCCATGAGAACCGACTACTAAATTTTCAGGAATTTTTCAAGCTGATTGTTAAGCCACTGGTGGCTTGCAATTGCCTGAGGTGGGAGCCAACACTGCACAGAAGGGCTCACTCCTGCCCTCCCGGCATCCACTGACTGAAACCCTTCTCCTGGGTTTATTTTAACATTTCCCACAACATCGCTGGCTGAAACCCTTTTCTTCCATTCAGAAGCAAATGCCCTTGAGAAATAGATACAAAGCCTTGTCAATTATGTATACCTTTGTGTAAAGTGCTTAATGTTGAGTCATACACGTTTGTCCAGTTAGATAGGGACTGGAAATCATTTGATTTAACCCCTTATTCTGTGAACAAGAGGATGGATATCTAGAAAGGTAAAGTGACTAGCTGAAGATCCTAGAATTAGCTGGTGTCAGAGTTCAGCCTGCGTCCAAGGGGCCGATTCCCAGTAACTGGGATGCTACAGTGGACACAATATATTTCTTACACCCAGCGTCCCTTCCTTTCCCCCCTCTATTCATATTCATCCTGGCCAGACCATATGGTACAGGTGGGGCCCACCCATAGTCCCACTGCTCCCAGGGATGGTCACATGACCCAGCCCTGGCCAGTCAGAGTCCTCTGTCCTCCCAGCCATTGTATGAATAACTGACTTGGGGAAGAGCGCATCAATGCAAGGATGCATTTGCAGGCCCAGCAGTAATACCCATATCTTCTAGCAATAGCAACAAGTTTGCTTTGAAGAACCAGCTATTCTCTATTGGTTACAGCTTTGATAAGGCCACTAGGTGAAGTCAATCAGCTGCTTTCTCACTGAATTTAAAGCTTAAAAGAGTAAAACATGACCTGAATA